TCCACAACGACAATACGAAGCGGACACAATGTGGTCGCGCAGGGCTGGTCACAAGCCCAAGATGATCATCACACACACACACACACACACACACACACACACACACACACACACACACACACACACACACACACACACACACACACACACACACACACACACACACACACACACACACACAACGCTCGTAAAGGGTACAAGTTAAAAAAAAAAGCAAAAAAGAAAAACAGATCAACTCCCACGATGCACGACAGCAGTGAGTGTGGGCATCGGAGCCGCCACACGGCAAGAACAACAGCAGGCAGGGTCGGGCAGCCCGCGCCTCAGGACAATAAAGGGTAAAGATGAAAGCGAGGGTGAAAGCGAGGGGTGATCGAGGATACATGGCAATGGCAAGGAGCAGGACACGGTCGACTCGCTTGCATCGTGGACGGTACACTGGCACGAGAAGGATGTGTATTGTGTATTGTGTGTAGAAGAAAGGGGCTTTCAGAACCGACTTCTTGCGTACCGCACGGGAACCAGGCCGGCGGCTTGAAGCGTGATCAAGAACCACGGCGTCAACAAAGTCGTGTCGCTACGCTGGGTGGTTCGGGATCAATATGGCGGCTCCGACGTTTTGGGGAATCGCTGGGGTGGCATCCACGCCACTCGCTTGCCTACAGTGGCAGAGAGGAAACGAGAGCAGGGGCGGGATAAGCAAGGTTTCGGGTCCTCTGTGTGTGTGTGGCGTTGGAAGTCTGGTCCAAGATGAGGACCAAGAGGGCAAGGTTGGCAGGGGGCGGTGGTGTATACAGAGGAAGACCAGGCGAACAAGGCCAACACGGGACAACACTGGAACAAAGACCCGACGGCAGCCAGGGTCAGGTCAAATCACGCCCACCCCGATATGAAGCTGAAGCAAGCCAGCGAAAAGTGGCGGCGCCGAGAAGGGAAGCGATGCCGTTTCCATGGAAAGGCACACACACATAGAGAGAGAGAGACCATACAGTGGTGTGCAGAGAGAGAGAGAGAGATGGATACACGAGGAGGCGAGTCAGAAGGGGGAGGATGGTTTTTTCTTTTTTGTTGGTTGTTGGCACGAGATGGCGCATGGCATGGTGGGACATGCGGGCGTACCACACACGTCTGAATATCAGTCACATCCATCAATGCTTACGAGAAACGCAACACGTTCCCTCCTCGATCCCTCCTGCACACACCACATGCCAGCACTGCTGGATGGGAAAGGGTGGAAGGAGGGGAGAACCGGTCCAGTCTTCGCCGAGCACGGCAAAACCACCACGCCACGCACGAACAGAGAGAGAGGGAGAGAGAGAGAGAGAGAGGGAGAGGGAGAGAGAGGGAGAGAGAGAGAGAAAGAGAGAGAGACAGAGAGATAGAGAGAGCGACAGAGATATACACACACTCTCACAGAGAGAAAGCGGGGTGTCCGATCCCCACAAAGGAAGAGCAACATACAGACACAGTCAGGGACACACACACACACAACGCAACACAACACAACGTGTCTACTAAAAACAGTGAGAGTGTGTGGGGAGTTTGGCGGAGCCGCGCATGGAGCTGCGAGGTTGCAGCACACACCTTGACCAGGCCAGACACGCAAGAGCGCGGGATGTGCCGATGAGACGGAGGAAGGGAGGGCAGGGGGTGGCGGTCCGTCGTGCGGCGGCGCAGAAACAGGAGATCGGGACAACGGGTCAAAAGGGGGTTTTGCCGGTCAAAGCCGCAAAACGAAAAATATCATTCCCAACTCAAGGCAAAGGCAATAACGCTCTTCTTCCAACCTTACAACCTTATAGTATCAACCCTCCCTTACAACCGTACCCCTTCTTTGCCTTTGCCTTTGTGCCTTTCCACATCAATGTGATGTACAGGTGTAAATTCCTGTTGTGTCTCCCCCTCCGCCCGCAACCCCACACTTGTGGACGTGTTTTGCACTGAAATTAGGCTTGATACCCACACCCACATCCCATGCAAAGAGCGTCTCGACCAAACAACGGCCGATCGTCATGGGAAAGCCCGAATTCGGTACCGGAATCTCCGGCTGGACTTTATCTTACTGGGCGGCACTGGAGTTGCTGAATCACTTTCATATGGCAGACCGGGTTGAGATACATGACCACGTCCATGCATCATGCTTGGGCTTGGGCTTGGGCTTGGTATTGGGCTTGGGCGGCTTGTCGCATGTGGGAGGAGGAACGGGAACGCGGGACGACACTGACTCCACGCGCACACACGCGCAGAGTAGCACATGCACGCGTGTCAGCGAGTGGATGGGTGGGCATGCAATTGGGCCTACACGCTTCACATGGTTCTCTGCTAGCTCCCCATTGGCACTAGATGACCCAAGCCTCAAGCCCAGCTATGCCGTTTAGCCTGTCAAGGAAGGAGCAGAGCAAGGAGCAGAGCAAGGAGCAGAGCAAGAAGCAGTGTAAGGAGCAGAGCAAGGAGTTGCTGGTCACATAGCAAGCCAAATTTTGAAGGACCCCAAGCAGATTACATGATGAGGAAAACTTGAGAATGGACGCTGAGCGCTTGGCTCAAGCCGCAAAGGTGATCCCCAACCGCACCACTCGTGCATCTGCAAATCGCGCCCTTCCGTTTAGATGCCGCTGTGCGGTTGACTGACTGACGCCTCGAGGGGCCCGTTCATCGCTTTAGGGACTCGGACGCAGCGTTTTTACTCAACCCTCAGCCAGTCATCCCACAGCAGGCAGGGGCTGGAAGCTGTGCCTGCTCCTACCCGTGTTCCGAAGAGTGGACATTAACAGCCCGTGCATCCCAAGCGCCAGACTCGGGCGTGCCAAGGCACACAACGTGCCCGGTCACTTCTCAAGAGGGCAGAGGGAAGAGAGGCTGACACCTGTATGGCGTTGGTTTCTCGGGGCGGGGTTGTTGTTGTTCCTGGCAGCCGCCGTCCGGGTCCGCCTCTCACATTCACAACACACAAGATAACAGCCATAACCACGCGCATGCCCTGTCAATGCAATGTGTCCAGGCGCCTACAAAGATGGAGGCATGCGCCGACACGGCTCCTTTCTCTCTCTTTTTCTCTAGCTTCCAGCTGCCTGCACGCGGCGATTCACTCGACACGAGGAATCATGACCCCCCCGCCACGCCAAGCTGCAAGAAAGCAAAATCAACATTTCCTGATCCCGTCCACCCACCAGGTCCCATGGCCCCACACCCCACTCACTATTCACCGGAATGATTGGTGAAGGCTGGGGCGTGCCAAATTTACTTTCATGTCACCATCCATGACAACCTTGCCAAAAATCCACACAGCGAGTCGCAATCTCAGCCAAAAAACACAATGTGAATTCCCCATATCATCCCCACTTCGGTTGCCAACGTATCATCCACGCGACTGGATATGCGTACATATGGTCCATTACTGAGCCAAACAACGTGTGTGTGTGTCCCGTCCCTTGCCTGCCTTTCTTCGTTCCATTTCTGCTTCTTCTTCTCTATCATCAGTTTTGGCTTGGCTCCTTGTGAATTACGATGGGTCCTCCTACGCCACAACCATGTATGCAGCGTGACAGCTTGTGCCTCTTCAGAGAGTTGCTAGGTTGGAAGGCGGCGCGTGCCAGCAATGCCAGTCCAAATAAGTCTCCCAGAAAAGGATCGCATATCCGCACGCTCGTTCTGGTTTCACGACTCCTCCTGGCTGGAAGGACGCAAGTCAATCCACATGATCGGCCCTTGTCAAAACCACGTTTGTGATTGATTTGACATGTGAAGACGATGACTCGTGACCCCCACCATCAGCCAGTCAGCCGCGACTCGGTTTCTAAAAAACACGAATGAACAGCGAGCGACTGACCTGAAATCTATTCACTTTTTTTTTTTAAGCAGCGTATACTTGAGAAGGGGGTGAGCCTGGCGCTCCAAACCATCAGCCATGTCCACGTCGCAAAACCAATTTAAACGTTTCGTCATATACCCACGGATCGGGATGATGTCATTGGGGTTGGATGACCCATACACTTGAGAAACCAAAAGGGTGGAACTTTTTTCCGAACATTCTATCAGTCATCACCCATCATTCTATGGATACAAGAAATGGATTATGGAGTCGGAATGCATCCTACGATTGCGACACTCAAATACCGATGAGGTAATCCTCCAAACATCCCGGAGACTCGGAGACTAGAACAGCCATCCCTCACGGCATTCTGTCAGCTTTTATTGGGCAGTTCGTGGGCGAGCCGATCTCCGCGCCGATCTCAAGACAAGCTCTCGCGCGAAGGGGTCGTTGGCGATCGACAGCTCCATACGCACGCCCATAGTTTTTGAATCGCCGTGAACATGGTGGCCATGCCTCTGGGCTGGGTGCCCATGGCGCTCGGCGTTGGAACCGTCGCGACACTGGCCGTGTGGAGGAGAACGTGAGCAAATCTTTGGGAGCCGTGGGCAGCGCAGAGCGTTCAGCCTCCCTTCCTCTCGCTTTGCTCCTTCTCATGCTTTGACCCGCATAGACTGACGCTGGACGGCGGCCTGGCTGCTTTTCCAGTCGGCTTGGCGGTTGGCTTGGCTGGCTGGCGCGAAACCCTGATGCTGGCCGCCTTCTTCTTGAGCGGGTATGTCGGCTTGGCTGCAGTGATAGGCCTCCTAGAGTGCTTCTTCTTTTGCAGCCGACACAACTCTTGCTCTGTCTTGCTCTTGCAGATCTGTGGCCACCAAAGCTCTTCACAAGTACAACCGCAGCACAAATGCTCTGGATACCGACGTGAAAACAGGTAATTCGGCTCACCCACCCAGCCAGCGGTTTCTTGCTCCCCCCCCCCCCCATCAAGACCACCGGCCCACCGGCCATTGTTTCCCCGTTAAACAGAAGGAAAGGTGCACACTCAAGCTTGATGGTAAGCCACCAATAGATCAACCCACCTGTTTGCCACGGTCAACATAGTCGCCAAGGAAGAGGTAGTTGGACTCGGGGGGGAAGCCACCATACTCAAACATGCGCAGCAAATCGTAGTATTGACCATGGGTGTCACCGCAGATGCGGAGGGGAGCCTCCAGCTCGAGGAGGATTGGTTGGTTGAGGAAAATCTCACGCGACTTGACACACAGACCGCGAATCTCAGCCTCGGTCAGGTCAACTGTACCACAGAGAGGGAGAGAGCGGGAGAGAGCGGGAGAGGGACAGCAAGAAGGGGGTCAGCACATGATTGATCGGCAGTTGCATAGTGGCAATCGCACAGGGGCTGCCCTTCGTGTGGCAAGCCGCGCAGCCAATAAACAATGGAAAAAAAATCGTGGAACAAATAATTATGTTTGACAACAAAAGACAGCTAAAAAATGCTTGGGGGGGAAAGCCAACT